ACAGCAGTGCTCCTTCATGTCCCAGCTCCCCACTCCTGGCATTGACCTTCCTCTCCACCGTTCCCCTACTCTGTACAGCGATCACCCAGCTCTCCAGCCTCACCTCCTCTTCCTTCTGAATTTTCACCTCCACTCACAAGAGTATCTGTGCTGCTTTCCACTCTGCACCTTGTGTTTAGGATACAATCCTTTAAGGTATCTATGAAGCTAATGAGCCTGCACACTACTCCCCAAGACCCTGAAAGATAGCAAACACAGAAGATGTAAGAATCATCTGAGGTACTCTTCCAGTTGTTGCAGATGCCAGAAACAAACAAAAAGTGCCCATGCCCTGACCTACTTCAGTATAGGTATTGTAAGATTTTTAAGCTTTGTTAAACTGACATTTCTGAAAGGTTAGTTCAGAGAGAAAAGGTGATCCAGTGGCTTGGGCTTTAATTTGGGCTGTGGGGAACTTGGTTTAGATGTCTGCTTTCTGGTTGACAGCCTGTGTAGATGTGGGAGTATCATGGTCTCTTATGCTTCAGATTCCCATTTTATAAACGTGGAATACTAGTAGTTTTACTGCAGTGAGAAATACAATAAAACATGAGTATGGTAAGATGTACAATGATAAAGGGCAAGGGATATATAGGTATTTAAGCTAGATCTTTTTGTTATTTGCTTTTAAATGGTGTCTATAGACTTAATGCTTTTCTTTTTGTAATTTCTCAGAAGTTGATGGCTCTCCAGTATCTGAGATTGAAGGCCCTTTCACAACAGCAGATGTTGCAAGCAACTGTGTTTCTAGCGTTTCTTTCCATGAACCAGTGTTGTGGATTGCCTCCTATGCTCTCATGAGCCTGTGTGGAATTATCCTCCTTGTACTGATCATCCTGCTGCTTATTCCACCACGGTGTCAGCACCGCTACACTGACAATGACGTGGTCAATGACGAATCCTCCTTAGTGCGTCATCGATGGAAATGAGAAACTTGATCATGAAACCTGGGACTTAAACAGGATGAAGAACAAAGTACTTTGCCAAGGGGAAGAAGCCAATGCCTCAGTCCTTTCTACGTTCATTACAAATCGCTGTTGAAATCCCGCCAAATACTCTGCATCATAACTTCTTAAACTTTATTTTCTAACACTGATTCTGAACCAAAGCACTGTTAACCACCTCTTAAGTGCTACGGTACTGGATTTGCTATTGCAGTACAGTGAGCCTTTATGCTCTCAATAGTACCTTCTTTTAACAAAACAAAAAAAAAGAAAAAAAAAAAAAAAGAGAAAAAGCCACACCATGATGTTCTTCCACTGTCTGAACAAAATTGTCCATCCCTTTTTCACAAAAAAAGGAGCTGTCAGTATTTTCTAACTAATCGAGCCCTGACTGTAGAAAAAGGGTGGGGGGTGGGGGGGAAATCTTTCTTATTAATTGCATTAAATGAATACTGCTTTCTGTTTACATCAATTCATTTTGAAACTGTGCTTATGGTGCGGGGGAGGGAGAAAGGTCAGACTTAAGCAGCAGAGGAAAGCAAGTAAGGGCAAGAAGAAGTGTTGGTTTGTGGGGTTTTTTTCCCTCAAGATCACTGCTGCCACTTGAGAGGGTCGCCCTCCCTGAGCGTCATTACAAAATAGTTTGAGGAGTTGAAAACTGGGAAACAAACTTGTTCAGCCTTAGCGTAAAACAAGACTACCTCTCTTAATTTACAAGGATGCTACCACTGGTAAGCGTGTGGCTTAGAACTCTTAGAACTTAGAACAAGCATGTGGTCTTGAAGCACAAGATGCTCCATAAAACCAAATGCAACTCCTTGGCTTTGAAGTAGTGAATTTTGTAAAAATTAGTACTTCATGACTTTCCACTTTGGTGCACAAGAAAAGCCTTTCGGTTTTCCCCCTAATGTGGGGTTTTGTGGGGGTTGTTGGGTTTTTTTGAGTTGAAGATGACTTATACTTGGAAAAAGCTGGTCTACATATGTATGGACAGATGATAAAGCTAAGGTCTGTGTTCTGCCATCTACTGGTATTTCTAGTGAGCGTGTAACAAAAAGGCAACAACAATATGAGAAAGGCAACCCTTTTTTTTGGCTGAGCTCAGCAATCTAGAAGTTGGAGGCAAAAGTATCTGTCTTCATGGACAGACTGTGAAGTGAAAGTCTTCATGCTGGCTTGTTTTTCAACTTCAACAGCAGTTGGAGGTGTTTAGTTTAGCTTCACTGGTGCATCAAACAAATGAAAAGTGCGTGTACTGACAGCCTGAAAACAAACATGTGGTAAGACTGAAAACAATAGTGGGAGAGAGCAGGGAAGAATGTATTTGATGCCCGTTGTGCAAGCATAGATATTAATGCTGACGTCAGAACATGGTATTTTCTTTGCAGATAGGACAATTTTTCTTTTATCTAGTCAGTGTGCATTGAAGGACAGTGGATTTGAAAGATAAACAATGCAGTGTTGAGGAGTCTGGTGATAATATAAGTTACCTGGTTTAAAAAAAAAAAAAAAAAGGAGAAAAAAATTCCTTTGCATTTTGACAGCAGAGCAGTTGCATATCCATGTGGGAAACAAGGAGAGGGGGGAAAAAAAAGGAAGCTTAGTTCCCAATCCCTTGCCTAGAAAATTTTCTGCCTATAATCCCTTCATATAGCTTTCTGATTCACACTGCCTCTGCATCCAACTCTGCATGGAATAAGCAAAGGTTTCTTTTTTTCAGGAATGGTGCTTTTACAGAGGTGCACGTAATGTGTGTGAAAATAAAGCACTGTTGTTTTTTTTAAACTAACTTGTGTATTTCACTTCATAACTGGAAGTGCCTATGGTTTTCTTTCCTTTTTAATTTTTGCACTTTCAGATTGCTTGGCTGAATAGAGTGAAATAATTGGTGTTGTGATCCAACGTCTGAAAATCATTTCTCTTGGAATTAGGAGTTGGAAATAGGAGGAAATTTTGAGTTTGCTTCCTTCTTCCTCTGCCTCTTAGTTTTTAAGGGGAGAAAAATGATGAATTATAAGGAATGTAAGAAACTATAGAGTTTAGGTGTTTTCTCCCTATTCTATTTTCCATATGTCTCTCTCAATGTCTTATCATTAGAATTTTTAGTACACATTGTAACAAGAAGTTCCCTTGAGTTTTTCTTTAAGCAATAGACTTTGCTCTGAAAAGAGAGAGAGTGATGTTTCCAATTCTGTGATTCAGCTCTATATCGTCCTCCTGGGTTTGGTTTGGCACATAACAAATAATTTCAAAGTTGTATGCCGCCTTCTACAGTATAGTAATGTAAGTAATGCTTCTGTCACCTGTTTCAAAGAGAAACACAGTGTGAATGTTTGGATTGATACAGTGGTAAACAGTGAGCCCTTTTTCAATTCCAAAAGTAGTAACACTTGTAGGTGCTTAAAATGTTCCTTAGCTTCTTCCCTCTCCCCACACCCTCCAATCTCCTTACGACAAAGAGTTTGGGGAAGGAATTTATTGGGAAAGGTTCTCCATATGCTTTCTAATGACAAGCGAGATTTCTTGAGTTGCTTAACAAAGTCTTTTTAGTGCGCTAGGTTTCATATAAAAGCCATTCAGTTTTACCCTTTCACTTTGAATGTCATTGGTCAAGACATTTTAATAGAAACACTTGTATTATATGAGCAATAATCAAGTAGCACAAATGAAATAGTAATATATTCTTGAGTTTTCATGGCATCCCTTGCCACTGAAATTTGGCTTATAGTAAAAATGCTGTTAGCGACATCTGCTAGCAGCACAAACTTCATCTCAGCTTGTAAATTGATACTTACACTGGCAGATATTCAGGTGAGTATTGCTTTGTTGCTCTGGCAACAAGAAGAGCAATAGAAACCCTTGAGGGTTCATTTTTAGCCTACAGCACATTAAGAAAAATAATGCTCTTGAGCATTTTTCGATGAAAGATGAAATACAGTGATAAAATAAATGTTACCAAGTGTGTCTTACTCTTTC